GTTATAAATTATAATAAAATCATATATATATATATATATAATATATATATTACGTATATAAATATAATGAGCCTTATACGAGCTTTGTTCACGAACATTAACGAGTCTAAACGAGTTCATGTTCACGAGCCTAAGCGAGCCGAGCCCAGCGTTGCTCAAGCTCGGCTCGTTTACTAAACGAGCCTAAATATTGGGCTCGAGCTCGGCTCATTTGCTTAATGAACGAGCCCGAGCCGAGCCCTTAACGAGCGAGCCTGAGCTGTTCATGAACAGCTCGGCTCATTTGCAGCCCTAAATATCCTCCCACCAATTATACGGAAGTAAAGATTGTGTGGGGCTACAAATACGAATAGACTTAAATTTATATTGAAGACTTGAGGAATGTTTGGTAAGAGTATTATTTTTGGTATTTTTATTTTTGTCGTAACTGTAGCAGTAGAAAAAATCCATTTGATAAAAATTGTTTTGTTTTGCACAGTGCTAAAACGTTTTGTAAATAGTGGTAAAAAATTGGAACACCAATTTTGTGTTTTTACATATTTTGTTTTACTATAATGATGATAATAATTTTTTTTTCATTTTTTTGAAAAACTCTTAAATTACATTTTTAAACTAACCATTATATTTTTCAAACATGTTTTTCATTTTTTTACTTCCAAAAATCTTGGATAAATGGACATTGCCAAATATGTTTTGAATTACTATTCAAAACACTCTATAACAAAAATATTTATTTTGTATGGGTCCCGTAGGTTAGTCGGGGCAAAGCCCCGGACATCCCGATTATCCTTATATATATATATATATATATATATATATATATATATATATATTGTTTCAAATTAAAACAAAATATGAAAAATAAAATGTGTACAAAAAATACTCTAAAAGTGTAACAACGGGTTATAAAATTTTTATTGATCACATTTCGGTAAGTTATGAGACTCATCCTTTATGAGTTAATGAGTGAAAGTGAATTCAAAAAATAACCATTTGAAGTTGAGGTAATCAACTTAATATCGGATCCTTATTATTTTATATTTTCTTTTCAAATTTTATTACATTGTACAAATTCTACCTCACAAATCAGAATATTTGGTTTTTGTTAGAGTTAAAAAAAATAATAATAATACTAATACTAAAATAATCAAACCATCTGCCCACCCAAGAAAGACTTTTTTTCATTACTTGCGGTTCATTCCCCTTCATTTGTTTCGTCATTAATTAGTCTTTTATTATCTGTCTTTTTTTTTTTCTCTCTCCATATGTCAATCTCCAATTTATGAATTGTCATGGTCCAGCGTGACTACAATTGCGAAAGGACTAACAAGTAGTCTAAGTAGATATATAGATGACTGAAAGTGTACAAACTGATTATACTATTTTTGTCAAAATTTTGACGTAAATTTTTTAAAAAAAAAAAAGATTTTTTTTTTTCAGGTAAAATATTTTCTTTATTTTTGTTCTTTGACAATGTGTAAGTCGAAATTGAGGTCTAGTCCATCTGACAATTTATGTAAAATAACTTACCAAAAATTAATAAATATGTTATTTTTGTTAAGTTTTAATATTTGTTTTCTTTGTAAATATTTTACCAAAACCAAACACAAAAAAATAAAAAATATTTTGCATCCAATCAAATGGAGCATAAATGTGGATGATCATTACTGTGTATATATATATATATATATATAGATATAGATATATATATATATTTCTATTGGTCTCATATTCACCATATATCTCAATTAATGGAGTGGGCAGAACTTGCGAAGTTGTTATGGGTTTTCATACTTCTGGTTCAAAACAAAAACCATGGAATGGAAGGTTTGCTTCAACTCATGGCCTTTTTTCACTTTTATGTGTTTAGTGCATATTTACCTTCAGCATTATAAACAAAATAACTCTAAAAGTAGAATCAAAGTACTCTAAACTTTTATTCAAAAATTAAATTTTTGAATAATTGAAACTAGTGCAGAAGGAAAATTGGTAACAATGGTTTTTTATTTTCTTTTCATCACCCCCTTATATTTTCAATTTTTTGTTTATTTATTTAGATTTTATTTTTTGAATTTTTGAATTTTTCTCAAAGTAAATATACTATGAAGTCTATAATTAATATTATAAACAAATTCATTTTATAATTGATTTATAAATATCCATCCAACCCAATTATTCACGGAAGGAAAGACTTTTCATTATTTCCCTTTCATTCCCCCTCCCTTTTGTCTTTTGTCTTTTGTCTTTTGTCTTTATTATTCATCATTTTCCATTCGTCTATCATCATTTTGTCAATTATCACGGTCATTGTGGGGGCTATAATTGGGAAAGGACCAAAAAATATATAGAAAACTAAAAGTCTAATAATTGATTATAAATCTAAATAATCATATATACTTTTTGAAGATTAACTGAATTGTAGATTGATCACATATTCACGGTAAAAAGTAAAAATATTTCTTTTCTCCTTTCCTCCTCTACTTTTTTATAAAACTCTCTTTCCTCTAATTGTATATCAATGGCACATTAATGGACTGTTCGAGATCAATTCAACTGATAAAATATGGATTAATAATGTAATGAAACTAAATCCGAATCTAATTTCTGAAGTCTACTCTATTAAATTATGCAACTTTTCTAACGCGTGTATGAACAAATTATCAATGTCATGCTCAGTGTGGGGCTACCCATAAATGCATTGATTACGAAAGGACTAAGAACTACATATATGACTAAAGAAGTCTAAAAAACTTATTGTAAATGTGGATGATCGGTGTAAGTATTGATTGGCAGATGTGGGAAAAAGTTGATTCATTATATACGGAATGAAAGACTTTTCATCGCTTCACCTTCTTCCCCCTTTCCTTCCTCTCGTCTTTTCTCTTCGTTATGCACCTTTTTCCATACGCCCATGTCCTATTTGTCAATTGGCTGTGTGGCCGTGGGGAAACTTATAAACATATTGATTGCCAAGGGACTAATAACTTGATAGAAGACTAAACGATTATATAAAGATGAATGATCATTACACAACTAGTCTACTTAGAGTACTGTATATTGTGTCATACTTTTGAAGGTCACTTGTATTGATCACATATTCACCGCAATTAATGGATTGGTGTTACAAGAAATATTTATTTTTCATTGGATTTGAATGAAAGGGGGATTGGGTATAACTAGATGAGTATACAATACTATCTAATAATTTAACTCACCCATTATAGTTGGCCATTTATGAAGTTGTTGTTATGAGTTTTCATTTTGGTTCAAAACCGTGGACTAAAAGGTTGAAGAGGATTGGATTGCTTCAACTCAAGCCCTTTTCCACTTTTCCACTTTTATGTGTATATTACATCTTTACCTTTAACATTATAAACAAAATAACTCTAAACGTAGAATCAAATTATTCAAAAATTTTATTCAAAAATTAAATTTTTGAAAAATTGAAACAAGTGCAGAGGAAAATCGATAACAATATATATATTTTTTTCTTTTCATTACCCCTTATATTTTCAATTTTTCATTTAGTTATTTAGGTTTTATTTATTTTTTCTTTTTTGAATTTTTCTCAAGGTAAATATACTATGAAGTCTAAGATTAATATGATAATCCAAATTTATTTTATAATTGATCTATAAATATCGGTCCAACCCAATTATACATGGAAGGAAGACTTTTCATTGTTTCCCTTTCATTCCTCCTCCCTCTTGTCTTTTGTCTTTATTATTCACCATTTTTCATACGTCTATGACTAATTTGTCAATTGTCTTGGTCCGTTGTGAGGGCTATAATTGCGAAAGGGCCAAAAAGTATAGAAGACTAAAAATTTAACAACTGATTATAAATCTAAATAATCATATATATTTTTTGAAGGTTAATTGTACTATTTCTATTCAACACATATTCACTGTAAAAAAATAAAAATATTTATTTTCTCCTTTCCTCCTATATATTTTTTTTATAAAGAGGGGGTTTACATTTTCTTTCCCTGCTCCCTTTCCTCTAGTTGCATATCAATGCAATGTAAATGAACTGTTCGGGATCAATTCAACTATTGAAGTATGGATTAATAATGTAATAAAACGATATAAATCATATAAATCATGATCCGTTGAATCAATCGGTACATCGCTTATTGATCGATTCATAACTCTTTTTCAAGAGTCTACGTCACTTATTGATCGATTCAGTTTGATTGGTTTATACCGATATTTGGTCGAGTCCGTTACACGGTGAACAATATCACAAATGAAACTACCATGATATAAATATACTAATAGATATATAAGGTCCGAAATATAGTGATATATAATTTTTTACGACATTATTTAATAAAATGACCCGCTCAACTTATAAAATCTCACTATTTTATCATTAAATTGTAATAATTTTTTAAGATTTGTAAAAGGTCGAATTAATTACTCCATATTTAATATATTTTTTAATTTAATAATTAAATAGGAAAATTCATAATTTTTCTAATAAGAAGTTCACTTATGAAAATAATAATAATAATAATAATAAGTAGTGTTTTAGGGGAAAGATTTTTCGTTGCTTCCTTTTCATCTCCCTCCTTTCTCATGACTACCTTATTTATTATGTACAAATTATCAATTGTCATGATCAGTGAGGGGGCTACCCATAAATGCATTGAGACTAACAACTGCAAATATGACTAAAGGAGTCTTAAAATTGAGAATTGAGATGAAGAAAAAGACTTGTACCAGAAAATTAGTAAAGGCTAAACTAATCACATTAAGGGTCTATTTAGTAATAGGGATAATTCTTAATTTTTATTATCAATTCTTAAAATTAAGAATAAAAATAAAAATTATGCTTAATAAAATGCTTTTACTTTTATACTTTAAAAAAGTACTTTTATACTTTTGTAAAGAAAAGAGGAAGTGAGAACTTTCTCTATTTTCTCAATTGTAACCAGAAAATACTTCCTGTTACTGTGCTACCTGCGAAACCTTTAAAATTAAAATTTGACGTTAAGGCTATGTTTGGTAGGGTGGGTTTGAAAGGGAAGGATAAGATTAGTTATGAGGGAAATGGAAGGAAAGGGAAGGGAAGGATAATTTTAATTTAGTATTGTGTTTGGTTGATTAAGGAAGGAAAAGGAAGGGAAGGATAATAATTATGTTTGGGGAAAGAAAGGAAAGGAAAGTATTTCGGTAAATTTACTATTATACCCTTTTATAATTTAAAATAAAAATTAATAACTTAATTATGTAATATTTGTAAAAAAAAAAAAAAAAAAAAAAAAAAAAAAAAAAAAAAAAGAAAAAAATTAATATAAATATAATATTTTTAGGGTCATCATTTTAGGGTCCCCGCCTCCATCTCTATTCTCGTTCTCTCTCTGCAACACTCTCTCTCTTTTGCAACTGCAAACCACAAAACTACAACAATCCAAGTTCCAAACCCATATGTTTATCTATCATTTGCAAGAATCAAAGGTTCAAAACCCATATCGGCATATTGTTTCAGATTGTTCCAAAAATCAAAACCCATATCTTTCAGTTTCCCTTGCCCGCTGTTCTAGTTTGGGTTCGCCGTTTCCATCGCCGGTTGTTCCAGTTCGGGTTCGCTGTACGCAAGTTTCAGCCGCTGTAAGCTTCCCCCCTCTCTTTCTCTGTGCAATGGCTAACTTATATGTACGGGTTTTGTTTTGCTAAATCAACCAATTAAGGTCTGTAATTCTTGTTTTGCTTAACTAAATCCTTGATTTTGTGTGGGTAAAATTGGCATCACGATTATCACATGTGCCATTGCCTTCCTTTTCCTTCCGTTTCCGCCCATTTTTGAGAGGTTAACAAATCTACTGTTCAAGCCTTGCCTTAACCCTCCAAACCCTTCCCTCTCCTTTCCTTCCCTTCCACCAATTTTACCCAAACACAATTTTTGTATAACCCTCCATCACCTTCCCTTCCCTTTCCCTTCAAACCCACTCTACCAAACTGAGCCTAAAAAATATATCGTTTATAACACACAGGTCCTTCCCTCTCGCGACGACATACCAGTGGATCGATGACTCCACCGGCAACCAATTGATTGGCGACAATACCGGCAACCGGTTGATCGGCGATAATACCGGTATCCACCAGAGCAACGAGAGGCGGCATCTAACTCTGTCTCCAATAAAGGTCTCAAATCAATGGAGTTATGCCAGAATTTTCAGTTGCTTTCATTGTTCTCCTAGGATTGGATGATGCAATTCTAACTCTCTGATAAAGACTCAGGAAAGTCCTAGATAAACCATATATATATGCCTAATTCAAGAACTAAAAGCAAAACCATTAAAAAATAACAATAATAGAATCAAACTATTTTCTGATTCTATCGCTGGAATCGAAGATTGAAGACCGGCAGAATCTACTTCTTGATTCCGGCGTCGTCGTTGCCGGAGAAGAAGAGAGCTCACAACAACCCCCAAAATTCTTCACGGCCGAGAATTTTGGACGACGACGACAATTTGGGGATGAATGAAGGAATGATTGCTAGGTCAGAAGCAGAGAAGTAACAATTTTTGCAGAGAGCTTTAAGAAAGAAACATCTAGTTAAGGCCGTGGAGGCTTAGATGGGAGGGGTTGGTATGGATCTGGAAATGGGTTTTGCAGAGGAACAAATTTTTTTTTTTTTTTTTTTTTTTTTTTTTTTCTTCTTGTGGTATTCGACTTTTGTGTTTTTCTTGGTTCTTACTTCTATATATGAAAATAAAAATTAAAAAAATATTATTAAACATACTTTTGTTTATTTTGAAAGTAGTATGGATTTAATGAAGGTATTTTACTTTCTATTTTAGATTCAAGAAATGAAAATCATAATTTTATTTTTGAAGGAAGTAAAAGTAAGAAAGTAAAAATCGGGCCTAAGAAAATCAGGTTAAAAGGACTAAAACAAAAATCTTGTAACTAAACATTAAAAAATATAACAAGTTTTATACAAATTCATAGTTTCCAGCAACGTAACAACACTACACGTCATCTATCATAACAAGCACAAAATAAAAAATGAAGAGAACTGTTTTATGAATATATAAAGTTTGTGAATCAGAATGTGCCACGACAAATAGTATGATTTGAAAGCATACAGCTAGGGACACTTATTTGAGCTAACAATGAATTAATGCCGGATATTAATTTGGACTATGAAAATGACTAATTAATTCTACGCTTTCAACTTAATTTAAAGATAACAAATAAAATATGCACCAAACAGAAGGATGGAAATTTTGTATTGGCCTAATTGAATTACAACCAACTCAATCAGAACTTGGCAATGACCTTTATGAAACAGAGACATCAAAATTAAGTTGAAATTAGAAGTAAAGCCAAAATACTTGAAGAAAAATCTCTCATAAAAGAACAGGAGAAAAAAGGGGTAACACTATAAACAGCTTATTAGCTGTAAATGACATCTAAAAGAAACCGTCTTAGCACCATAAAGTCCAGAAAGGAAAATTTTAAGGCTTGGTAACTCATCAATTGTTCTAACACTGTTGAGAATTCTCAAAATTTCAATTACAAAGTTATTGCTTAATCAAACATTGCATGGACAAACAAAGGATACATTTAGGCATTCAATGTTTAGAATACATAGGGAGAGAATTATGGCGTTCGAACAAGCTCAAGTTCAGGGAAATCGGAAAACCCTTTTATGTTATATGGCTTTTCCAAAGCCATACCAACTCAATTGAAACTTGGTTCAATTCAAACATGATACTGATCTTGCACAACTTGTGGTCATAAGTTCATCGCTATTTATTAATTTTTTAAAAAAGAAATAATGATAATAGCTTAATAGGAGTTGATTTCGAATTTTCGACAAAATCACATGAAAAGGACAAACCATGACCCACAGCACCACCATTAGGGCCAAGTTTTGATTTTAAGAACTCTCATTATAAGAAAGAAAAGTTCTATCACACTACTTTCATGGATCCCATCACCACACTGTCCCAACCCAAAAGATTATTTTCACACTACCCCAAAAAGATTAAACAAAAGGATTAAAAAAAAGTAGAAAAAGAAAAGCAAAAGAAGTTGGGCTTCGACTGTAAAACATGTTATATGCATATGCGTAGATATATATATAGTCATCCTGATGTTTCCAGAATAATGAACTTTTTTTATTTTATATTGTTCCTTTGAAATACTGAGGACCGAGTTTGAATTACATACCCGTATATATACGAATTCGCATTTGAAAGTTTTTACGTATGTTTGCATGCCATATATATGTGAAGATACAAATGTTTGTGCATCAAAGTTCATAGAGAGTGATGCACGCTGCATAGCGATTATATGTTGTTCGGCTCCTAAAAACCGAGGTTCCACTTTTCAGGTGAGTGGAAAATAAGAGTGGATGTCGGGCGTGCCAGGAACTGCTGTCGTTCCAAAGTGAGTATCCGAACAACTTGTTGGGAAACGTGCAAGTTTTAAAAACTTTTCGAGGGATTTAAATTCATAGATCTTGATTCATCACATAGAGACAAGTTTTATACAAAAATAAAATATGATGTATCATTCAACTAAAAGATTGAATACTTACATCAAGGTTTGAGTAAATCTCAGATCTCTCCTCTAAAGTGAATGTTCTCACTTATTGTAGATCCATTTTGCTAGACATCTTTTCCATGGATCTCCATCTTCTTGGTAATGGTCTTGCCTTTAGGAATCACTCATAAGCCTCCATGAATGACCTTGGAAAACTAGGCTTGTGGGAGCCTCCATTAGATGAGAACATAAACCCTAATTTTCTAGAGAGAGAAAAGTTATTCCTATTTTCTTCTCATCCAAATCACCCCTAAAATATATATAGACCATGTATATTTATAGGCAACATAAAGGTAAAGAAAAGGAAACAACTAATCCTTCTCAATCTCTAATTCACATGTCTCAAATCTAATATGATTCCAATATCAAGTTGGGCTATGAGTGAGAATCCATTGGGCCTATTATTTTATTGGCTACAATGAATTAATGATTGGCCCGGTCCATGGACCCAATTAAATTAATTCATAAATTAATTTCTACTCCACTAAAAGAAATTAATTGAACTCCAATTAAATAATAAATAACCTCTAAGTCAATGTTGCACTTTGACCCCTCTATGCATAATTAGTTATCGGATAAATAATGCCATCAATCCGACTACTTAATTAATATATTTATTTTGGTACCTTTGATTATTTCTGGCTCGATCACAATAAAACATTTGTTCGACAAAAATAATAATTTAATAAATAAATATATAATAAATCATTTTGTCTAAAATCATACGAAGGTCTTCGAATTTACTTTGTGATCAACCATAATCAATACAAAATAAATACAAGTAGCAATGATGCAAATATTGAAAATATAACCCTTTAACTATTAATTACATAACTACCCGAAGTGTCGGTCTAAGGATCCCGAAGAATCCGCCGAACAAATCAAAGTAATTGTTAATTAATAAAAGAGTCTATACTTTTCTCATGCTTAAGAGTCAAATGCCATGACGGTGATAGGGAGTAATTGCATACGACGGCTCTCGCAATATATCTCAACCTAACGCGGATCCAGTTCAAGTCTTAATTAATTATAAGTCCATCCATAATTACCGACTATGAACAATTTATAATTACTATTTATATATCATGCATTGATTGCCATCACATACATATACATAAATATTTCTTGTAATTACATGGACACTATCAATTTCATAGTGAATCGAAATATAATACATTGAATTCACCAATTGTATAAAACATAAATATTTCAGAAACGTCAGGAACATATGTCAATTAATCCAAACAGGAATTTGCTATGCCAGGGCATATAAATCCCAACACAACTATCCAGTAGAAAATTGTAAGGATTAGGCGATTGAATGAAGGACTGAAATTACCACCTTCAAGGGTTCTTTTTGCCTTGAAAAATGACTTTCGGACTGAATTATGGCTAGTGGAAAGGAAAGCGGTATTGAAAGTGCAGGACTTCAAAGTAATTGCTGGAAAGTAGGAATAATAAGTGCAGGACTTGAATTAAACATATTGAATGTGCATTACATGAATGAAAAGATATATGAATGTAAAGATATTGAAGTGCTGTTTTGCTATGTGATTTGAACAGGGTTTGCAAACTAGCTCTAGGTGTTTTATTTATAGAGCTTCATGCATTCATTAACTAGATGTGGCAACTTCAACAGCTTCCACGTGGAATGGTTCCGGACTGCCACATGTCCCATGATTCCTCAGCGGTTGTAACTTCTTCCATCTTATCCATCTTCTGTTGTAGACTTCAACCACGTCCTCTCTAGTCTTCAACGAATTTGCGTCTAGGTAGTTTCAGAATGAATTCCCATGTGTTCTCTTTGTGACTTGGCAAGTGTCCCATGATTTTGTTCTTCTTCCTCACGCCGTCAACTCCTTTCCTTAACTTCAAACACGATTTCACCAACTGCTGCCCTGTCAACCATGACCCTTGATAACTTCCCTTGGTTAGTGGTAGTTTCCTTACAGGTTTCCACCACTTTCAACCGATATATTCCTATTTAGCCAAGTGTTGCATGACTTCTAGTAGTCTTTCACTTCTGTTAGAACCCTCCTTATGAATATATATATCATGCACATATAAGGAAGTTTTTTGTAGACCACGTTCTCCTAGCTTTGGGTAACTTCCTTCTAGTTGAGCTTTCCATTCTGGTCTTTGTATCATGATGTCGTGGCCCCAAAACTTCAGCGATATTTCTCTTCATGGGCAAGATATATATATATATATCTATATCCACGAATATACATCATTGCCCACGATCTTCTGCCAACCACATTCCCCTGGATTTTAGTAACTTCCATCTTGAGACTTTCCTTCTAGGCTTTAGAGTTCATGTCGCCATCATCTCCTTAACCTCAGCAACTTCTTCATCATGGGTAGTTTATCCAACCTATTCTCTTTCCTTCAACAGACCACGCTTTCCTTGACTTCAGGCTAAAACCTCCATATTTGCTTCATGGCGTTATGGTTGTGATGCACTTCCCAAATTCTAGCAATCTCCCTTCAATCTCGCCTCATTAGAATTCAGGGCATCATGGGCTCATGAAAATTACTCCATCGTGGGTTAAATATATATATATATATATATACTTATATATATATATTTAAAGAAATAAACTGAATTCCCACGTTCTACTGAATTTTAGCAAAAAGGTTGACCTGGCTTGAGCAGTTGCTGATGTCTCCTAAAAATAAGGAGAAAATATTGCCTCCACATTCCTTCTTGTGACTTGGTCAACTTTGTTCTAAAAATGAAAAATTCCCATTTAATTGGTATCATATATTAATAGGATCTTCCAAATAAATTCAAACAGAATTAATCTACCGTAGCAAGTCGAATAAAACTCGTCATGTGTCAATAAACTATTGGTTGTTTGAATCTTTGACTTTAGCCTTCTCATGAAGTTACACTCATGGTAAAATCTTCATGCAATCTTCTCGTACTTTTAGGACTTTATATCCTAAGTTTGGTAAGTCCTAGTGGGACTCACCACTCCTTTTAATTTCCCGTAGAATTAATATTCCAAAGGAATATTTATTAATATTTTACTCTAACATGGCAAGTTCCATTAAAACTTGCCATGTTACTTCTTTCTATTAATAA